TTTCACCCAAAAGCCGTCCACAATGTACCTGCTAAGCAATTTGGGGATGTCAAAGTGAGATTCCATCGCAGCTACGATAACCCCTGCGTTGCTTTTGTACGTGCTGATGTAAGGCAACCCCTCATTATGATGAGCCCGAGCATTACAACATTAAAAAACTAAGCGGCATGGATCGACCAGTGGTTAAAATTTTTGGACTCATTGCCTCTCAAACAATACAAGGAGTCTCTGGTGCGGGCGATCACAAGTGTTGCCATGCATTATATGGAATACAACAGGATGCCAGCTACTGAAGAACTCCACTATCGCATACGCAGCAATTTCGAGGAGATTTACCTTCTGGCCAGGGATGACCTCCGTCGTACAATACCTCAGCAGAACGAGGGATATTTCTATCAATTATTTGATGAAATGTTTCATTTTTGCTTCGATAAGTTGGATGGTNCGGTTGGACCACCAGCAGAGGGGCCCGACTCCCGACACCCGTCCGATATATACTGTCCGACAGTTTTTCTATTTACCCGCCAGCCCTTTTCCACCCACTTTCCACCCGCCACCCCTTTTCCACCCACCACCCACTTTCCACCCGCCACTCATTTTCTATCTGGCGGCCATTTTCCACCCACCACCCACTTCCTGTGACCCTCGGACCCCAACTTTGAGGCCCTGCACCCCAGGGGGCCCCGCAGCGCGCCGACGACCTCTTCAAAGGCATGCCGCCGAGGGGGGAGGGGGGAACGTGCACGTGCACTTCCCGGAAAAAGGGGGGAGGGAGCGTGGGAAATTCGCCAATAATGCCCTCTTACTACTGACATGGTCATCGGTTCCACATAGGTTTCGACCTACAAGGAGCTCATGAAAACGTCACACAATTACCTCACAAGTAACAAGTAGATTGTAACCCATCAAAAATTCACGGGACTATTTATTACCCTCATTATTATTAACAATTTGTCAATGATGAATGATTCATTAATTGCCATGGGAAAGCAGCGTCAAGAATGAAGGTCAGGAATAATGGTCAGAAATAAGAGGCGCGAGGATCAGCAATAAGGTTCATTAATTACGAAAGATCATAATTGGGTAAAATCGCATGTCAGTCATCAGAGACTTCGAATCTTCACATTATCTAGAATATCTAAATGTTATATTCCCAAGAATCACAGGATAGCGGACTTGGATTCCAGCACAACAGACGATCGTCAAAGTTAAGTAATATCTAGTAAGGTTCTGAATTGTAGGGGTGACCACTCACCGATAATGTGATTTTTTTTTCTTTTTCTGCGTGTATAAATCGATTCTTATCATTGGACATGCTTTCCCATAGCAGTTAATGAGTTATTCATCATTGACAAATTGTTAATAATAATAATCAATATTCACGTGAGTTTTGAATGGGTTACAACCTACTTGTAACTTCTTAGGTAATCGCGCGACGTTTTCATGAGTTCCTTGTAGGTTGAAACCTATACGGAATCGGCTCCTATGTCGGTTACACCTCATCGGTAGCCGATGATAAACCGACGAAATTTCTACTCGCATTGAGATCCCTAATTTATTGAAAACAATGAAAAGAAAATATCATCGTTGATGGTTAAATATTGGTTCTGAATTATGGCCGCGCATCTATAATTGAAATATAACGAAATTAAACAGTTGAAAAATCTGCCGTTACTGGGATTCGATCCGAATTCCTTCTGATCCACAGTCTGGCGCGCAGTCGACTGAGCCATCTGAAACATCTTATGGTTGTACACTTTGGACCGATCTCTGATCTTGAATGGGGGCCGCAATGCTCGGCGTATATTGAGGCTATGTTTGGCCGCGTTGCACATAACGCTGCTTGGGCAGCTAAAATTCGAATATTTGACAGAGAAAAATGCCAAAGCTCGGTCATAAAGTGAACCCGACTCTTCCCAGTATCGTACCAAGTGCGCCTTTCACCTGAGTTATTTGAAACAACTGGAATTCTTCGCTTTCAAATTCGATATGAGCGTAACGAGTAACCGTTCAGAAAATGAGACGGTGTACATATTGGTTTAAAAAGCGTGGTTGAATGAGAAAATTGACTAATCACCATAATATATGCTGATGCACGGAAATGCACTCTGCGAGTTCTTGAGAGCTAGTAACGTGCTCAATTTTTTCAGCGAGAAAGTCCAGCTGAATCGTTCCATACCAAAGTAGTAGACACGTTTGACAAATAAAAGCGGAACTACAACTGCACTGGATACCCGCTATTGCTTCAAGTAGGTAAACAATATCATAAACAGGATGTTCATCCACAGAAAAAGGGAACTCAGCTGCATTCGGTAATTGCTGATCCGTTATGAAAGGACCAATCACATAAATCACAGTCGCACCTAAAGTGACAACATTGTATAGGAAGTAACAAGGAGAAACTCGCTTTACGTATGTCGTCAGTACTTCTCGTTCGTGGGGACTTGCATTCTTCACGAATGTCTCCATCTCTTCAATTAAATACTGCCGAATGAATCGTATATTGAATTAGAATCAGTATTATGCAGAAGCAGCAATATTTCATTGAAAGATCCCTTTCTGATACCAATACTCACCTGAAAGCGATGATAATGATTTTTTGCTATAATCAATCTTAACGTAACTTGCATGAAACAGAGTACAGTCGATAAGCAATCAGTCAATTCCATGAAATTATTCCGTTGGTAGTACATCGTACTCAGCAGTGGGAGAACGTTTGCTACTGCCAATATAAAGGAAATACACCAACATATTTTGAAAATAATTTCTGTCAGTCGTGTTGATTTTGAACTTGGTGGCCACGTGAACAGAATCCCTGTTGCGAATTTAGTCCACTGAATTACAAACTCTGGAGTTGATTGTTTACCCATAATGATACTTCAACTGAAATATAATTGAGTTTCCAAAATTTTATGGGTTATATCGAGTGTTTGCCATTTATTTGTAATCAATTAAATTACAAACGATTACTGCCTAATGGGACGAAATGTTCAAGGTGTTTATGAAAGGCTCATAAAGATCGTGAAGGTCAACTGAAAACCGTGAGAACAGTCATGATAGTCATGAGAATAGCCATAAGAATGGAAGAATAGTCAAGAGTCTACTTAAGAAGATCGACGCCAAATCAGCGAGCCAATGAAGTCATTGCTAGAGATTTGCATGTCAATTTTTTGTTCGAGACACGTTGATTCTCAAAAGTGATAAAATGAAAGCTAAGTTTGACAGAAAAAGATTTATATTTTCGTTTCGAGTTGGTGAGAAAATTTGGTTTTTCTCATCCAAGCGAATTACAGGGAAATCTCAGGTTACAAAAAGATTGGGATTGAGCCCATGTCATTTGAATTGATATTAACTCTTGAGTAGTAGCAGCTCGTCACCGAACGTTTTTGGTCGCATGGTGGGCGATTCGCAGCTCCGTATATTTTATAATTTTTGTGAAAAAAAAGGTCGGAAAAAAATGTTTAATTGTAGTTCGCGGGTAATTTTGAACTTTCAAGGAAAAAGAAATGAGGATAGCAAATAAGAATAGTAAACGGATAATCCTATAATTCAATTTCATTAGATACAAAATTTAGCCCGGCGCCTGACTGGGAGACTTGGGTTCGAATCCCGGCCGGGCGGTGCGGGATTTCTTTCTCTCTACATTCTCTAATTCTCTCTGAATTGATTTAATGCCTAAAGGTGGTTAGGTAGTGTTGTCTTGCGAATTTGGAGAGAGGATTCCCATAGTTCCCGGTAGCATAGTTGGGAGAGTGCTCGGCGCGTAACTGGGAGACTCAGGTTCGAATCCCGGCTGGGTGGTGCGGGATTTTTTTCTCTCTAAATTCTCATTCTCTTTGAATTTTTTTTGGAGGTGAAAGACCTGAATTTCCGACGAATCCAGTTTTCAGAAGATTTTGATAATTAATTAGTTCGAGTGTGGTTCAAAAATAAACTATAAATATGTTCGATTTAGTTGACAATAGAAATAAAAGTTTTCATAAATTTTTCCGTTATGGGGTTTTTATGTGACAAAAAAAATCGAAAAACTGCTACGATTTCCCCATAGCGCGACCATTCAAGGGTTAATTCTATACTGTCCAGAATTCAGAAAATACCACATGGCAAGCTGCAAATTATACACGTCGACAGGGTACGTCATTATAACAAATGAATTGACCAATTCGTAAGGAAACATTCCGAAAGGAAAGAGTGAATCCTCCGAAGAATGATGACAACGTTTTGCTTTCTCCATTTAAAAGAAAATTAGAGACAAACCTATTTTACCCGAATTGATCATGTTATAATAGACAGTATACTATTCCAACATCACGAGTGGAAATTTTAGTCAGGACTTGATCAGACACTGATCAGGTATGTTACGCTATAATTTTGGATTTTCCACTAGGGATATCATGTCCAGAAACATCATTGAACGTCAAACGATGAGACAGAACTCAGCGCACAGTAGACATACGATTACCAATCGTGTGAATATCTATCGAACTATGACAGATTTACTGGACGAATTATGAAGTACTTATTTCAAAACTTGATTATAAACGGTGAATTTCTCACTAGGATTGTCGAATTAGGACACATTAATTTTCATCAGACATCTGAAATAATCTATAACTATTATTCTATTTAACGGAGTTAAATAATCCGTTACTATTAATAATCCGTAATGAATTCAAGGGGCGTATTTGTTGACAGTTCTTCAGAATAATCAATAAAAAGGAAATTTAACAGGTATGAAGTTGTGTAACAAAACATAAAAGCGCAACAATCAACTTTCTTCTATTTTACAAAGAAGGAAAAGAAAACAGATGGAGCCATTTGATTAGCGACTAAAAATTCGACTCGGCATACCTTATCAAAGTCGAAGGGTCTGCCTAATGTTCAGTGCTAGTTTGATCAACTGAGTTGTGTTATGTATTAGGCATTTAGAACGTCCGGATCGAAACATAATTACCACATCTGGGTCGGATTATAGAAACGAAATACGATCCTCATGAATTTAATTGATGATCTACCATAAATTATCAATAATCCAATTCTCACTTTCAGAATAGGTGCAAAAATGTCTAACTGACACCGTTTCAAGATGTTCAAGTACTTACTTGGGTAGCTTGACTCTCCTTTTAAATTTCTGATGAGGAATTCCAGGATGGTTCACTCTAAAAAAATCATCATGTAAGTTCAGTGATTGCAATTAGTTAACTGATTACTTACACACTGCAGTGATTTCACAGTAACTACTCTTTGATGATACCGCGCGGCACTCAGACAATGGATGTGAATAACAAAACGCTGCGAGGCACAACCTTCTGACTAGAAATAAATATGTTCCTCAAAATTTCGGACTCCGATTCCTCAATTTGTATGAATAATTTATACCTAATAAAACTCAATGAGCCTTGCTTGAGCCATCTTAATTACTGATAGTCATGAGCATGTCAAAATTTTATACGGATAATGAATCGTTTCATTCAAAATGTAAGGCACTCGAAATTACCGGGTATCCGGAAATATGATCGAATATTATTGCTTTCCGGAAATATACACGGTGTCCCGTTTGAAACAGTACGGCTGAATATTTCTTGTAAGAAGGAAGGAACATCAAAATTGTGCAAATACAAGTTGTAGGGTTCGGAAGGGGAAACTCAGTGCTGATGGAATCCAGGCCCCCATTGCTTATGTTTCTATGTTATGATCATAAAGTCAGTCTTTTTAAATGGCAACAATATTTTTCACCCCTACAAAAGTTGTTCGTCTCGCCGAGGACAGTTCAACCATACTATATTTTTCGATGACGTCACAGTTTTCATGTGAATAATCGTATGAAAATCAAATAAACGGTAAATATCTTTATTAAGACTATGTTATAGGTTCCATTCCACATACATGTACATCATGTACATGTGTCTTCGCGTAGGTATCATGAGCAGTAACTACAGAAGATGTTCAACGTTACCGCCATTAACAGCAAGGCACAACCCCAGCCGGCGTCGAAAACTTCGAACAACAGAACGGAGGACTTCAGATAGAATGTTCGCGATTGCTTGTCTGATCCGTCTCTGCAAATCCGCCGGAATTCTCAGTCGCTTGGTGTACATAACATTTTTCACGTAACCCCACAAATAAAAATCGAGGGGGGTAAGGTCAGGAGATCGAGGTGGCGACTGGACAAAATCACCTCGACCGATCCAACGATTGGGGAAGGTAATGTTTAGATGATCTCTCACAGATCGAGTGAACTGCGGTGGTGCACGGTCTTGCTGGAACCATGCCCGCTGTTTAGTTGCTAAACGCACATTTTTCATGAGAACTGGTAATTCATTCCGCACGAATTGCAGGTACCTCATGCCGTTGACAGTTCCATCAAAAGAATCGGGTCCAACTACTTGACCGTCAACAATACCGCATTACACTTTCACATTCCACCGATGCTAGTGATCAATGTTGTCAGTCCAGTGAGGGTTTTGAGCTGACCAATAGTAACAATTGTGACGTTTCAAAGAGCCCCCACTATGGAATGTTGCAACCACAACATGTTATGGGTGTTGTTGTGGCACCTAGCTCTTACAACGTCCCTTACCTATCTCAGTCATCTTTTGATTACATGGTGCATTGACGAGATGGTAAATAAATAACATTCCAGCGGTTTTGTGCAGCAAGATAGTCTGAATGAAGGTATTTCCCTTTCGTTTTATTTTCGTACGATTATTCACGTGAAAATGATGACATCATCGAAACATATGGTATGGTTGAACTGTTCTCGGCGAGACGAACCACTTTTGTAGAAGTAAAAAATATTGTTATCATTTAAAAAAACTGACCTTGTGCTCGTTGCATAGAAACGTAAGCAATGGGGGCATGAATTCCATCAGTACTAAGTTTCCCCCTCCGGACCCTACAACTTGTATTTGAACAATTTTACTGTTCCCTCTTCCTATGAGAGACATTAAGCCGTACTGTTCCAAATGGGACACCCTAGGCCCTCATTGCTTATGCTTCTATGCTACGAGCATAAAGTCAGTTTTTTTAAATGGCAACAATATTTTTCACTCCTACAAAAGTTGTCAGTCTCGTCAAGAAAAGTTCAACCATACCATATTTTTCGATGACGTTATCGTTTTCATGTGAATATTTGTACGGAAATCAAACGAAAGGGAAATGTCATTATTCAGACTGTCATTATTCATCTTGCCGCACAAAAACGCTGGAATGTTATTTATTTACTCTCTCGTCAATGTACCATGTAAACAAAAGATAACGGAGGTAGGTAAGGGACGTTGTAAGAGCTAGGTGTTATTCTTCATTTTCCGTCAGTGATAAATATCCATCATTGAGTTCATATAGTATCATTCAAAATGGTTTATTCGGCTAGTGAGGGGTGGACATTTTACACATATTAGGTGAGTATCGAGGAGTGTATCGAAGGGTCACATGAGTGTATCCACAGCGCTTTCCATATCAACGACGACATCCTTCTGCTGCAGTCATGCGCCAAATCGAACGGAATTGTCGGCAGGGCAGAATTGGGAAACGACAACGCCAGAAAGTTTTCAATGTTGATGATCCACCCAGCACTGCTGTTTTAGCAATGATACATATTAATCATCACATTAGTTTACGGGGTATTGAACGTGATTTGCGAGTACCACGGAGCACGGCCCACAGAATCTTGAGATTTGGTCGGTATCATTCGTACCATGTCACGTTGAGGCAAGCATTATCCCCACAAAATATAGAGAACTGCATCAACTTCTGTCGTTGGGCTCTAGAAAGATTGACTGACGATCCAGATTTATTCCAAAACGTCGTCTTGAGTGACGAAGCAACATACCAGAGTACCGGCTGTTTAAATCGTCACAATTGTCACTAT